CTATATAAGCATAAAACGAAATGTAAAGACGCTGTCGAACTACAATCAGCTACAGATACTGCAGCTTTTATGCAGTGAAGTGATGCAATTAAAGGCTAATATTGCATCATCTCAGTATACATGCAATTTTCTATTGGTCACCAGTATCAATTGCGCAATATGCAGCTGAAGTTGCATCATAATTTTGAATGGCTTACGTCATTAGATGGGTGAATATATCATGGAAACTAGAGCCAATCAACATTTTTTTAGGGTCATTTTCGTTTTCAGCACCCCAAAATTATGTAAGATTAGCTAATTTTATGCCCAAAACTTTTTACCTGTTGAACAGTGTAACAGGCAAATGTCAAAGCAGACATCTGCACTAATGATCAGTGCCCTGATTATCAGTGCAGCTCCAAAAGTACCCAACAGTGCTGCCCATCAGTGCCCAACAGTGCTGCCAATCTGTGCCCGTCAGTGCCACCATTCAGTGCTGCCAGTCAGTAGCCTTCACTGCTACCTATTAGTGCCAATCATTGATGCCTATCAGTGTTCATCAGTGCCACATATCAGTGCAGCATCTTTAGTGCCTTCTCATCAATGCCCACCAATGCCGCCTCATCAGTGCAGTCTATAAGTGCCCATCAGTGATGCCTATCAGTGTAGCCTCATCAATGCACATCACTAGAGGAGAAAAATTACCTGTTTGCTAAATTTTATAACTGAAACAAAGAAAAACTTTTTTTTTCAAAATGTTTTCTCTTTTTTCATTTATAGTGCAAAAAATAAAACACCCAGTGGTAATTAGATACCTTCAAAATATAGCTCTAGTTCTGTGAAATAAATGATAAAAATTTCATATGGGTACAGTGATGCATGACCGTGCAATTGTCATTCAAAGTACAACAGCACTGAAAGCTGAAAATTGGCCTGGGCACGAAGGGGATGAAAATGCACAGTTGGCAAGTGCTTAACCACTTGCGCTCCAGAATATTTACCCCATTTCCTGACAGGCCATTTTTTGCGATACGGCGCTGCATTATTTTAACTGACAATTGCGCGGTCATGCAATGCTGTACATAAATTAAATTTATGTAATTTTCCCCCACAAATAGAGCTTTCTTTCGGTGGTATTTAATCACCTCTGTGTTTTTTATTTTTGCTCTATAAACATGAAAAATCGGCATCTTTGAAAAAAAAAAAATATTTTTGACTTCTTATAAAACATATCCAATAAACATTTTTTAAAAAAATCTAATTTCGCCATAAATTTAGGCCAAAATGTATTCTGCTCCATGTCTTTGCTAAAAATCCCAATAAGTGTTTATTAATTGGTTTCTGTGAAAGTTATAGCATCTATAAATGGCGGTATATATACTGGAATTTTTATTTATTTATTTTTTATACTAGTAATGGCGGCGATCAGCAACTTATAGTGGGACTGCAGCGGGCATTCTGACACTGGGGGGAACTAACTGCCACTGACATCCCTAGTGACACTAATACAGTGATCAGTGCTAATAAAAAGACACGGCAGGAAGGGGTTAACATTTGGGGCGATCAAAGTGTTGACAGTGTGCTTTGTGTGTTTTACATTGTGTGCTGTTTTATTTGGGAGATATGCTGCTTTGTATCTCTCTGATGTGCAGAGAGATACCAAGCAGCATGTCCATGCTAACAGAAGAGAGATCTGTGTTGTTTACAAACAGACCTCTCCGCTCTCAGCCGTGCCGACGAGTCACACGTGATTGACATCCCCAGCAGCCAATAGAGATGTAGTTAGGGCAGCGTGTGTTTGTGCCAGCACCCCCTACCCGGAAATGCAGATCACACACACACACACATATATATATATACAGTGGGGATCGAAAGTTTGGGCACCCCAGCTAAAAATTTGTATTGATGTGCATAAAGAAGCCAAGGAAAGATGGAAAAATCTCCAAAAGGCATAAAATTACAGATTAGACATTCTTATAATATGTCAACAAAAGTTAGATTTTATTTCCATCATTTACACTTTCAAAATAACAGAAAACAAAAAAATGGCGTCTGCAAAAGTTTGGGCACCCTGCAGAATTTATAGCATGCACTGCCCCCTTTGCAAAGCTGAGACCTGCCAGTGTCATGGATTGTTCTCAATCATCGTCTGGGAAGACCAGGTGATGTCCATCTCAAAGGTTTTAAATGCCCAGACTCATCTGACCTTGCCCCAACAATCAACACCATGGCTTCTTCTAAGCAGTTGTCTAGAAAACTGAAACTGAAAATAGTTGATGCTCACAAAGCTGGAGAAGGCTATAAGAAGATAGCAAAGCATTTTCAGATGTCAATATCCTCTGTTCAGAATGTAATTAAGAAATGGCAGTCATCAGGAACAGTGGAAGTTAAAGCAAGATCTGGAAGACCAAGAAAAATATCAGACAGAACAGCTCGCAGGATTGTGAGAAAAACAATTCAAAACCCACGTTTGACTGCACGATCCCTCCAGAAAGATCTGGCACTGGAGTTGTGGTACACTATTCCACTATAAAGAGATACTTGTACAAATATGGTCTTCATGGAAGAGTCATCAGAAGAAAACCTCTTCTACGTCCTCACCACAAAAATCATCATTTGAACTTTGCAAATGAACATATAGACAAGCCTGATGCATTTTGGAAACAAGTTCTGTGGACCGATGAGGTTAAAATTGAACTTTTTGGCCGGAATGAGCAAAGGTACGTTTGGAGAAGAAGGGGCACAGAATTTAATGAAAGGAACCTCTGTCCAACTGTTAAGCATGGGGTTGGATCAATCATGCTTTGGAGTTGTGTTGCAGCCAGTGGCACAGGAAACATCTCACCAGTAGAAGGAAAAATGGATTTAATACAATTTCAGCAAATTTTGGATGGTAACTTGATGCCATCTGTGAAAAAGCTGAAGTTAAAGAGAGGATGGCTTCTACAAATGTATAATGATCCTAAACACACCTCGAAATCCACGGGGGATGACATCAAGAGGCGTAAACTGAAGGTTTTGCCATGGCCTTCACAATCTCCTGACCTCAACATAATTGAAAATCTATGGATAGACCTTAAAAGAGCAGTGCGTGACAGACAGCCCAGAAATCTCAAAGAACTGGAAGACTTTTGTAAGGAAGAATGGGCAAAGATACCTCAAACAAGAATTGAAAGACTCTTGGCTGGCTACAAAAAGCTTTACAAGCTGTGATACTTGCCAAAGGGGGCAGTACAAGATATTAACTCTGCAGGGTGCCCAAACTTTTGCAGACGCCATTTTTTTGTTTTCTGTTATTTTGAAAGTGTAAATGATGGAAATAAAATCTAACTTTTGTTGACATATTATAAGAATGTCTAATCTGTAATTTGATGCCTTTTGGAGATTTTTCCATCTTTCCTTGGCTTCTTTATGCACATTAATACAAATTTTTAGCTGGGGTGCCCAAACTTTCGATCCCCACTGTATATATATATATATATATATATATATATATACATATATATGTGTGATTTTGTGCAGCTGTGTCACCCTGTAACAGTACTTCTACTCTAGGGCGGAGGGCAAGTGGTGGGACCTTAAAGGGGCTCTCCTAGCTGTCTAGTTACTAGATACTGCAGATCTGTGACTAGTCACCATCAATTACGGACCCTAACGTGCTAGCAAAGATATCGCCTCAAAATCGTTTCACATCTGGAATCCAAACTGCTCTTCTCCTTAGACCAAATAACAGACGTTTAACTAAGTAAGATTATATTTGTACTTATGTATGGGTACAATATAGGAATGTTCCTCAGTGTTTCAGAGAGAGCTGACCTGTTTCTAAGACTCTGTCCCTTACACCAGTGTTTTTCAACCTTTTTTGTGCAAAGGCACACTTTTTTCATGAAAAAAATCACGAGGCACACCACCATTAGAAAATGTTAAAAAAATTTATTGAAAAACTTTTTGACTTGAGGGCCGCAATGGGTTCATATATTGGACCCGGGGGCCGGACCAAGAGTAGATGAATGATGTGTATGTGTCATCCATAGTAAGTATAGTAATATTCCCCCATAGTAAGCATAGTAATTAATCCCTCATATAGTAATTCATCCCCCATAGTAATTCATCCCCCATATAGTAATTCATCCCCCATAGTAATTCATCCCCCATATAGTAAAATTCATCCCCCATAGTAATTAATCCCCCATATAGTAATTCATCCCCCATAGTAATTCATCCCCCATATAGTAATTCATCCCCCATAGTAATTAATCCCCCATATAGTAATTCATCCCCCATAGTAATTCATCCCCCATAGTAATTAATCCCCCATATAGTAATTCATCCCCCATAGTAATTAATCCCCCATAGTAATTCATCCCCCATATAGTAATTCATCCCCCATAGTAATTCATCCCCCATAGTAATTCACCCCCCATATAGTAATTCATCCCCCCTATAGTAATTAATCCCCCATATAGTAATTCATCCCCCATAGTAATTCATCCCCCCTATAGTAATTCATCCCCCATAGTAATTCATCCCCCATATTAAGTCCCCAAGCCCCCCCTGTGTCAATTCACTTACCTTTGCTCCGCGCGTTCCTCTCGCCGTTCCGGTGTAGCATGAAAAACTGTCTCCTATGAGGATCTGTCCCCCTCGACGTATCTGCGCATGTGCCAGTTTCAGGTATTAGCAGCCGATCGCAGATACGTCGAGGGGGACCGATCATCCTGACAGTATCACGCTCCGCGGGCCGGATTAAAAGGTCCGCCGGGCCGTAGTTTGCCCATTGCTGTTCTAATGATTGGTCTATTTGTGAGCCGAGGCCACATGTTACGGATGAAATTGCAATTTTTCCCACGGCACACCAGACAATATCTCACGGCACACTAGTGTGCCACGGCACAGTGGTTGAAAAACGCTGCCTTACACCAATGTCAACACTAGGTCACTATATTCTAAGTGCACTCATTTATACTTGTTACTAAACCCAGGACCCTGCATTCACTATATCTGGTCTCCCCGGACCCTGCATTCACTATATCTGGTCTCCCCGGACCCTGCATTCACTATATCTGGTCTCCCCGGACCCTGCATTCACTATATCTGGTCTCCCCGGACCCTGCATTCACTATATCTGGTCTCCCGGACCCTACATTGACTGTATCTGGTCTCCCCGGACCCTGCATTCACTATATCCGCTCCCCCCGGACCCTGCATTCACTATATCCGGTCTCCCCGGACCCTGCATTCACTATATCTGGTCTCCCAGGACCCTGCATTCACTATATCCGGTCTCCCCGGACCCTGCATTCACTATATCTGGTCCCCGGACCCTGCATTCACTATATCCCCTCTCCCCGGACCCTGCATTTATTATATCCGCTCTCCCTGGACCCTGCATTCACTATATCTGGTCTCCACGGACCCTGCATTCACTATATCCGGTCTCCCTGGACCCTGCATTCACTATATCTGGTCTCCCAGGACCCTGCAACAGTATATAGCAGTCTTGTGAGTTATATCAGTGTCCAGCAGAGCTTGTAGGAGGAGTTTTCATTGTGCTTTAGGAGGATGCAGAACCCCTGACCTCTGTCTGGACAGTGCCAGTTGGTCCTGTGCTGATCACATGCACTCTCCCAAGAAACAAAAAAAAACCTCTCTAGCAATACACACCAAACTGAGCATGTGTAGAGTGACTCCACAGCATATGTCTTATTAGGAGATAAAAGGGGAGTACTGGAAGAAGGGGAGGATCAGAGAAGACAGGATCAAATAGTGTTTTTATACAATGCGTATATCAATTCTGCATATGCTTTACTGCATATACAGACAGATTTTACTGTTGTGGGTTTTGTAACACTTTAAGCTTCTTATCAACGTTTATTCATTAGTTTGAATCCAAGTTCCCTTATTTTAATATTGATTCTAACTTAGTTATTCTCATAATAGAAGCAATGTCGGAGGTTACTTGTGAAAACTGTTCATTATTCAACCCAACTGCCTATTAAATACAGTAGTGTACTTTGATAACTTTAAACTGTGTCCTTTTGCTCAATTGTCTGCACTAACAATCTCTGAATATAAAGTGTCAGAGGGGTTTAGAGGCTTGCAAAGTCAGGGCAACAACTGGGGACAAGCATCAACTAGCGGCCCCCATGGGGGTATTGTTATATTATCTATCTATCTATCTATCTATCTATCTATCTATCTATCTGGGGAGGACTGACCATTTGGAAACTCGGGTACCACACGAGGGTCCCGGGTCAGTAGGGGGCCCCATGAGATACCCCTGGTACCTTTTTCATAGGCTTTTTTGAGTTTGACCAAGGACACAGGGGCCCCATGATCCTCTATTGCCCGGGGGCCCTATGAGTTGTCAGTCCGCCCCTGCTATCTATCTATCTATCTATCTATCTATCTATCTATCTATCTATCTATCTATCTATCTATCTATCTATCTATCTGTCTGTGAAAGGGGGAACGCAGGCTCGGCACCTACAGCACAGAATGTACGTACTGGCAAAGGGGGCTGGAGTGTGCTGGGAGGGGGGTCTATTGATTCTGATTGCTGGGGATCTGTTGTAGCTGGGGGTGTAGTGTTGTTTGGTGGGTCTATTCTTGCTGGTGAGAGATCTATTGTTGCTCTGGGCTTCTTATGTTGTCGGGGGATCCCATGTAGAGTGGGTAGGGTCTATTGATGCTGACTGCTGGGGATCTATTGTTTCCAGCAAGGGTGTATTGTTGCTGTGGCAGATCTATTGTTGGTGTGGGTGTATTTTGTTCTTAGGGGGGAGGGTCTATTGTTGGAAAGTATCTATTATTGCTGGGGGTCTATTATCATTAACCAAGTCCATACGCATTACTTAACACCACAAAGCAATACTTGGCTCTATATTCTCTAAAAGGAGCACTAGGAGGTGGATAGGGGGCAGAGACAAGGGTCAGTGTTCAAAGATAGGTAAGGGGCAGAGACAAGGGGTAACTTGGGATAGGAGGGAGTTGTATTTGGATATATTGTAGCTGGGGGTGTAGTGTTGTGGGGGGGGGGGGTCTATTCTTTCTGGTGAGAGATCTATTGCTGCTCTGGACTTCTTATGTTGTTTGGGGATCCCATGTAGAGGGGGGAGGGTCCATTGATGCTGACTGCTGAGGATCTATTGTTTCCAGCAGGGGTGTATTGTTGCTGGGGCAGATCTATTGTTGCTGTGGGTGTATTTTGTTCTGGGGGGGTCTATTGTTGGAAAGCATGTATTGTTGATGGGGGGAGGGGTCATTAACCAATTCCATGCGCATTACTTAACACCACAAAGCGATACTTGGCTCTGTATTCTCTAAAAGGAGCAGTACTAGGAGGTGGATAGGGGGCAGAGACAAGGGTCAGTGCTCAAAGGTAGGTAAGGGGCAGAGACAAGGGGTAACTTGGGATAGGGGGGAGTACTTGTACCTATTTCCTAAGAAAAAAATCCCTGTATCTATCTATCTATCTATCGATCTATCTACATTGCAAGGTGAAACGTGATTGGTTGATAGTAGCGAAAAGCCTTCTTTTGCACTATCTATCTATCAAAATTAAACGGCAACACTTGATTGGTAGATAGTCACAAAAACTCTACTTTTGCGCTAATGTTTGCTTTATTTATCTATTATTACATCTATCAATATCTATATGTCTATCTATTGGAAACCCCATCACCATTCCTTGCTTTCCTTAGCTCTCCGTTATCCCGGCAACCTTACAATTGGGCCACGAAGATTCATTTTCTCCCTCCACCTGGGCTATCTAGCCTTGAGCCCGGCTGCACCGTTCTATGGAAAATGGAAGTTTAACTGTTCGGGGGCCCCTTCCCCAAAGAATCAATGATTAAGACAATGCTCAGCAGCATTAACGCTTTGCAGGAAAAATGCAATAAAAGAGGAAATCCAGGGGATAATTTTAAAATGAAAAAGAAATCTTCCTGCCTGTATGCGCCGCCGACAGTCGCTACCCATTACAAGTATAACATCCATACCGCTTCTCTATAAACATTTCCCGGCTTGTTGCAGTTTGCTGCAAACATTTGTCAGACGCTCTCGTTGGCAATTATTTATTTCCATATCCTCCAGGACAATATAAATTCTAGCCGTGTCTCGCGCTCAAGGGGTCGCAGAGCTCACTGACACTGTGAGTGTCAGGCCGAAATCACTTTAATCAGAGAGTGGATATGCATGATATAACGGATAAGGGACTTTAATGAAAAAATCCGCTGGTCTGGAAACGTGACGCAGTCTGCCAAACACACTTCATCCCCCCGTTTCTTGCGATGGTGCCAAGATTTTTCTTTCATGAATATGCATCGGGACATGATATTACATTAAATTGTGACATTGTTGTGCGGCATTAAGGATTTGGAATGATAAAAAAAAAAAAAAAAATTGACTTCGTCAAAGTTTTCATCAATCGCGCACTGGTGTCAGTGTATCAATTTTCACAGCTTATTTCTCAGCAAGATATTGAAGCCGCAATGCGTGGCATCCCCACGAAAATACTAATTGTAATAGGCAGTTGTCTGCGTTGTGTTCGAACTGCAAATATGCCGCTCCCACTCAGGGATTTGTGACTTGTTTGACTTTGTACATTTAGTGAGATTGGAAGTTTTTTTTTTATTTCCTGAACCTGTGTGGTTGTACATGGAAATATGAGCTAGAACAGATTAGCATGATGCAATGACAGCTGACATGGGGGAATATAAATTATTATTAGTGAAGAAGACAAAGAACTGGCTTACGGCAAGATGGTGTAACAATAGATGAGACTGGAAGAGGGCTGCCATGTTGTATTACACTTGTATAGGCGAGGCTGAATTTCACTTATGCTTCTGAAGGACCCTTTGACCAACTGGGAAAGGAAGCACTGACTTCTACAAGTACAGCAGGGTGTTGGGTGGTCTTTCCAAACCTTGCTATTGGTTATGCTGTCTAAGGGATTGGAAATAAAGTACAATTCCAGCTTACACCCAACTTGTCTTAACCACCACTTCACCCCCTTCCTGCCCAGGCCAATTTGCAAATTTCAGTACTATCACACTGCGCGGTCATGCAACACTGTACCCAAATTACATTTTTATAATTTTTTGATACAGATAGAGCTTTCACTGGGTTTTTTTTATTTTTTGCAAGAAAAAAGACTGAACATTTTGAAAAAAAAAAAAACCCTTTTTCTTTGTTCCTGTTATAAAAGTTTGTAAATAAGAAATTTTTCTTCTGATGTGCACTGATGAGGCTGCACTGATGGGCACTGATGAGATGGCACTGATGAGATGGCACTGATAGGCAGCACTGATATGCTGCACTGATGAACACTGATATGCTGCACTGATGGTGTTGGACTGATAGGCACTGATATGCTGCACTGATGGTGTTGCACTGATGAGCACTGATATGCTGCACTGATGGTGTTGGACTGATGGGCACTGATATGCTGCACTGATGGGCACTAATATGCTGCACTGATAATTAGGGCACTGATGATCAGTGCCTTGATCATCAGTGTAAATGCCCCGTCACAGAAAAGCTGGTTATCAGCTTTTCTTTTCTCAGACAGCATTGAGGAAAGGAAATGCAGATAACTGGCATTTGTTTACATGTTATCAGCTGTGATTGGACGCAGCTGATCACATGTTAAAAAGCCAACATCATTGGCTCTTTACCCTGATCAGTAATACATTGTGTCTGAGGGACGCAGCTCACCGCCGATCGTCGAGCTGCTCGGCAAGATTGGGAGGAAGTTATATGACATCCTGCCAGAACAAGAGTGATCCCGCTCAGTCGTCATTGTATAGTAGGCCGGGCAGTAACCAGTTAGAAATCCCCCCCCCAACCCAACACCTATGCTGACTAACATATGTAAGAAAGATTTATACGCTTACCTATTTACAGTCCACTCCAGTCTGGTCATGTGATCCCCCTCGTCAGCCATCAGTAACTGTAGGGTAGAAGTGAGAGCTCTTGAAAATGGCCTCTAAAGCCTGGAGCAATGGTGTCACACATAGGCTTCCATGGCCCATCCATTGTGGGTCTTTCCTCTCCCTCTTGTAATCTTTTTGACTTCTGAGAAGGTTGTAGGCCATGAAGTGACACAGAAAGCTTATTGGCATGACCCAGATGAGTCACCCACATGTCCTTCACTAGGGCCTACCTAAAACAGAGGAGTAAGGCCCGTCTCCCAGGCTACTGCAGAGCAAATACTATTGTCAGCACTACAGGTGAGAAAGACCCCTCAAGTGCAGGCTCAGGGAAGGCTCCTCTTCATTCTTGTGAACTGAGGATCTGTGGCCACCACTGGAACCTCAACACCATCATCAACCACACTGGTTTTGCTACACACTTCAAATTGAGGGAATCAATACTGAAACATAAGGGAAAAAAAAAAAAGCACACCAACCTAGTGCATTATTGAAATACTATTGAAAAAAACCTAAATTTCAATGTACTC